TGGTTGATTGTGTAAAGCAAAGCACAGAGGGCGCTTGGGGGTTAAAATTCGCCGTAAGAATTCCGAGTTAACTCTTTCGATTGTTTTTTACGTCTAAGCTTGAGATTGTTTTTTACGCTATACCTGTAATAATTACAATATGACGCATTCTTTTAATTTAAATTTCAACGAAACAAACGGCAAATGAATTCGGAAGATTTCGCAAGTATGCTAGGATGCCACCCAAAAAATACCAAACGGTGATATTTTACACAAATGTAACCAGATAAGTGATAACACTCAAAATGTGACAAACCTTGCGCTTTATTTATTCTGTGATGTTAATTTTTTTAAATTTGTTTTGGGCTTGACTCACAACTTGATAGAATTTAAAAATTACTGACAACTCTTATGAAAGGTAAAGTTACGGGTAAATTTAAACACAAATCACAATAATAAACTCCCTGGAATATTAAAGCCTGTTCACTCATCGTCTCCTAAGCATTACATAAGCGGAGGGATACACCGCGGGAATTTTCTAAATTTCTTCTGGTTGTAGGAGGCTTGCTATTGTTTACATTCAGTCTACCATCCATAACTCGAAGTCACCCCAGGGCGCTTATTTACAAAAACAAATACATTTCCTGAAAAATATTTCCTTATCTCTTCTAGCGTCAAAGGGTTTCATTTTCAACAGAACAAATATTCATCTTAACTTTCACTTTCCCCTACATTACGTTTCGCTGTACTTTTTTTCAAATTTTAAACAGCACTATTTCTTATGTTTTTCATGCATATAAGTTTTTTTTAAAAATAAAATCTAAGGTTTATTAAATTTATATTACTTTTTAAAAGTAATCTAATGTAATTAAATCAAAAATAAAATATTATTTAATATTTAAAATAAAATTTTACAATAAATTTAAAAATTATTTACATTTCCTTATTGTGTTAACTTATCACGTATAATTTAATAGCTCTTTATTTTATAATGCAGTCGGACCTCTATTTAACGAAGTCGCTAAATCCCAATAAGTTCGTTATATGGAAAATTCGTTAAATAGAAAATCACCTTTTGAAATACTTAAACACCAAACGGGTTTTAAATTCATAAACACGAGACATAATTAAAATAGCAATTGATACACTTTTATCTTGTAAACTAGTATCTACTATTTATTTTATAAATCTTAACCATAAAAGAAATCAGCATGGAAAGCAAGAATAGAGCAAAACATTATCCAGTGTTACACTATCATGCTACATATATTTTCAACTAAAGAGGGCTAAATTTATGTATAAAATTATAGCGGCATTTATTACGAAAGTAATTTTAAACAAACTGCATGCGTTCTTAAGTTTTATTGCTACAGATAAAGTTCGTTAGTTTTGTCTGAGTTTTTCCTTTGAAATGCAAACAAAAAGGTAAATAATTTGCTGCTTTCTCTAAAGTGGCTTTGAAAATAATTCGTTATTTCCCCTATAAAATAAAATGTGTTAATAAGTTTGAAATGTTCTGAAATATTATGGGAAATGGAAAATTTACTTCGCTATTTGGAAATTATTTTACTAAAAAATTTCCAAACTGTTCTTGGCTCTTCGAAAAAAATTGCAAAATAGAGAAATTTATAAAATGGAAGTTCGTTAAATAGAAGTCCGAATGTATATCAATAGGAATGATTGTAAATGTAAATAATGTTAGTTGTTTTCGGCTTTAACTACTCGAGTTTTGAGCCAGATACTGAATATTCATTGCGTAAATAATTTTTAAATTTTATTATTAAGGCATTCGACTCATTTTATGAATTAAAACATAGGATTTAAACTCCAGAATTTAGTTGTTTTTTTCCAATTATTTTAACTGCAGCTACAAATATCTGTGACTGAAATATATTACGCTTCTTTCTAAAGCATCATTTAACATTACGGGATTCAGAATAGAAATAGGAAATTAAAAGTTAAATTTTAATAAGAAATTAGTATTTATAAAACGCTACCATATTTTACTTTCTAAAAACCGCTAATAAAAAAATGCAAATTTCAAACAGTTATTTGCGTTTAGAAGGACAGGTAGGCTTACAATATTGAAAAATTGTGTCTATAAAGTACAGATTTCAATANTTCGTTAAATGGAAAATTTACTTCGCTATTTGGAAGTTATTTTACGAAAAAATGTCCAAAATGTTCTTGGCTCCTCGAAAAAAATTGCAAAATAGAGAACTTTGTAAAATAGAAGTTCTTTAAATAGAATTCCGACTGTATATCAATAGGAATGATTGTAAATGTAAATAATGTTGTTTTCGGCTTTAACTATTCGATTTTTGAGCCAGATACTGAATATTTATTGCATAAATAACTTTTAAATTTTATTTTTAAAGCATTCGACTCATTTATTTCATTTTTAAAGCATTTTCAACTTGGACTAATTTTATGAATTAATACATAGAATTTAAACTCCAGAATTTAGTTTTTTTTCAATTATTTTAACTGCAGCTACAAATGTTTATGGCTGAAATATATTACGCTTCTTTCTAAAGCATCATTTAACATTACGGGATTCAGAATAGAAATAGGAAATTTAAAAAAAAAGACTTAAATTTTAATAAGAAATTAGTATTTATAAAACGCTACCATATTTTACTTTCTAAAAACCGCTAATAAAAAAATGCAAATTTCAAACAGTTATTTGCGTTTACAAGGACAGGTAGGCTTACAATATTTAAAAATTGCGTCTATAAGGTACAGATTTCAATAACTATCAACCAATTTGCCTAGTTCATTTTGCAAAAAATAAATGATAATGCTAAAAATATATTTATTTATAATAGTATTAAATAAACAATTGTGTACAGTGAGAATTGTAAATTGAACAATTAAAATGATTTTGGAAAGATCCAGTTTACATTAACATTACGTTTATTATTAAAAAATCGAGATTTTGAATTAAAATATTTAAATTTCTTAACTGTTTAGAAATTTACGTATTAGCGAAAACAAAAGCCTAAAAAATCAAAAAACGTGCAAAAAAATTAATTACTTTACAAAATCAATCAATCTAAATTAAAATTAGAAAATAAAAAAAACCATTGTGCATTATAAAAATTGAAAGAAAACTATAAAAAAAATTAAAATATATCAAAAGTAAATAGCATCGACTTAGCAATCGAAAACAAACACCCGATAAGTATTAGAAAACAAAAGAACCTTTAAACAAAGAATTTAAATCGAAATTGAACTCAAAACATATCATTTTTCTTTGATCATTAAATCTTCAAACATATACTAATCACAACTTCAGACATATACAAGCTTATACTAATACTCATTAAATCATAAATTTCGCATTTATAATACAATAGTTTATAAGCAACAAAACAAAATAAGTAGGACTCACCTCTTTCATAGGAATTTTTCTCTCATTTGTTGCGTCATCGAATAAAATTAACTTACGAAGTTGAGAAATAACTTCCTGTTATTGAAATAACCACCACGAAAGTTCGAAACTTCTTAAAATTACAGGCTTAGAATAACCCGGCTTTAAACCAAACCATAAAAGGTTTAAAATTTCGTTGAGTTAAAACACATTTTTCAACACAAACACAACATTTTATACTCACATAAATATATACAAGCGCTAACTAATTTGCAAGGGATTTATGTAACATCATCATCAACAATTTGTCAAAAGGTTAATATTCACATTGCAACTCATGCATCACACGCTGTTAGAGGTAAAATGAGTTCACCAAGAGTTGACACTTGACTTCGCCTTCGTCACGTGGTATTCGACGACACTACTTCGTCATTTTTGGGACAAGGATGTGAACAATCCTGAACAAAAATGCTATTTGGCGATCGTATGACAGAAATACTTATTTCGCAATCTTTATTGGCATTTTTTTAACATTAAATATTTCATAAATTTGATGATATTCCTTTAGAGTGAATAGTTTTCAATTTTTGAGGTCCCGCAGTGGACTGATCGTTAAGACACGGTTCCCAGCAGATCACCGAAGTCAAGCATCACTGGCTGCGGTCAGTGTGCGGGTGGGTGACCACTTGGATCAGTCTGCATAGGAACCGAGGGTGTGCGGTATGGGTCCTCGTTAAACTGTGCTACCGTAAAGTGCTCGACTTCGCGCGCAGGTCGTCGGGCTACCGAAGCGGGGTGCCATCCCCTCCGCAGAGGATCAAAATTGTGATGACATGTCTTCGGATCATCCTCTGGGTTGTTTCCCAGATCGTCGCCAACAGCCCATTGTGCAGCTCTAGTGTGACGTAAATTAACAACAACAACAATTTTTGAGACATTTTGCTGGGAAAATAGCAGATTTTTAATATATTTAATTAGCTGAAGTAACGAAAGTTATAGTAGCGGATGATAAAGCGAAGTAAGCGACTGAAAAAGAATTCATCGTTTGCGTTTTGCAAGGATTAAAGGTTGTCTCATTTTCAAGCGCGGAGATGTTTTTCTTCTGAAATGAACTCTGCTTCCAAGGAGGTGGAGTCAAGTGCCACCTTCTGGTGAACAAACTCTACCTCCTCATTATGAAGTGGCTGTTTGCGCGCATTTGAAGTAAAATTTTCCATTTGTCTAATTTATCTTAAATGTACGTTTGTTGTACGTTTTAATGTGGTCTTTAGACGTAACAAGTTTGATAAGTTTACTAACAAATCATTTGACTACTGTTATTTTGGGAAACTTAAAAGTTGTGCAATGCTAAAATGAACGAGGAAAAAAAAGCAGCTTTTTAAATGCGCAAGAACAGCCAGTTCGAAACGTGAGGTACCTCTTGTAACGTTCATTAACTATTTCGGTATCTGTGTGATTCTCCCTTGCAGTTCCATATCTGTCAGCTTTAATGACTTTTATCAAGGAATATCGTAAAGGAGCATTCTTTATTTAACATGTCTTTTATTTTGCTAAAAAAAAATGGGGTTAACAGTTTTTTTTCCAGTTCAAATAATTGTTTTTACTTCATAAACAAATCAGAGGTTTAAAAAATTAATTTTTTATATAGAAATCGTAAAGAATGTGATGAGAAGAGATAACCAGCCTCCTTTTCGACCCCAGGTGAACAAGTTGGATGATTCATTCGATTGTGTCATAGAATGTATGCAAGAATGTTGGTCAGAGGATTCAGACGAAAGGCCAGATTTCAAGACCATTAGAACTAAATTAAGACCAATGAGAAAAGGAATGTAAGTATGCATCGTGCAATTTTTATTCTATTTCATAACTGGCGTCGACCAGCCGGCACATTTTCGGATTTACCGCCATGGTGCGTAAATACGTAGCCTCTTGTAATTTTTTAACCAAACCAAAAGACAAAGAAATTCTTGGGGCCGGGATAGCCTGGTTGGTAGGACACTGGACCCATGACCAAGAGGTCGTGGTTTCGATCCTCGTCAGCCGAAAACACCCCGTGTAGTAAATGGTGATTGGTGCCCGTTAAATCTGCTGAGGCTCAAAGTCCTCCGTGTTCCTATAACAAATCATACCTCTGGTGGTACTGATCGAGGAGTTTCCTTGTCTTCTGTATTGGATTCAAAATCACAAGGCTACGGAGTTGAACATTAGTAGTCGTAAACCCAAAATTGGGTCGGCTGTCCAACGATGGTTATAAAAAGTAACTCTTGGATCAAGCATTGGGACCAATTAGTTTTCCTGGAGTAATTTTTAATGAAACGCACGCGCATTTGCGTTACATGGAGCGAGAAACTTCCCACGGTCAGCATGACAGCAAGGGAACATCATCGTACAATTTCTAAATAATATTCAACTATAAGAGTGCAATACCTATTTTAACAAATTATACAGGGTTTTAAAGATAACCGTCTTTTTTATTTATATTTTTTAGGATCTCTTTTAAAGATGAAGTAGGAGAAATTCTCAAATTATCATTTAAGTGGGATTGACACGCTATCGAAATCTGTCGTTTCCCTAAAAAAAGAATTATGGGGAAAAAACATCAAGACTAGTTTTTTTGCCTTATTCACTAAATCACTAAAAAAGGGTGTTCTAATCTTAACGAGTATAAAAAATTCCCAAATCTATTAAGCGTAACTTTCACTGACATAAGTTGATGAAAGTTCTTTTTTTCAAATACATCTTTTAAAGTTTTATTAATTCATGTAAGCGTATGGCTGTTGTTTTCATAGCTGTAGTTTTAACTAAATTTATGTAAGTAAAATGAGGTATACGTTGAAAATTACTTAAATTATAGCTTGAATAAAGAAAGAAAAAGCATTTTACAGTTTGAAAAGATATCGTGTAAATATTTAATGCTACAAAAAAGGTCAATTACTTGAATTAAAAACTATCCGTTTGAAAATTAGTTTTCCCTTTGATATTGAAAAATTGAACACTAGTGTTAAATGTCTACCACAACTAGCGTTCACTGCCGAGTTAAAAGATTTAATGGGTTTTGTGCTAGTCCAAAAACTGCGAGTTTAAGGAGACGGACAATTGTAGCTTTAAATCAAATTGAAGTTTAACGCAAATATGTTTTCCCCAGATACTACTGTAATTTTGTTTTGCAAAAATGCAGAAGTTATTTGTTGTTGTTGTTGTTGATGATTTACGTCGCACTAGAGCTGCACAATGGGCTATTGGCGACGGTCTGGGAAACATCCCGGAGGATGATCCGAAGACATGCCATCACAATTTTGATCCTCTGCGGAGGGGATGGCACCTCCGCTCCGGTAGCCCGACGACCTGCGCGCGAAGTCGAGCACTTTACGGTAGCACAGTTTAACGAGGACCAATACCGCACACCCTCGGTCCCTACGCAGACTGATCCAAGTGGGTCACCCACCCGCACACTGACCGCAGCCAGTGATGCTTGACTTCGGTGATCTGCTGGGAACCGTGTCTTAACGATCAGTCCACTGCGGGACAGAAGTTATTTGTAAAGTTAAAGTTAGCATGACAGACGTTTTTCATGGTTAATTTTGATTCACCTGCATCGGTATTTAAATCTAAAAGAATTCGAGAAAACCATGAAGTTTCAAACGCTGAAAAAATGTTTTCAAAATGTCAAAATAAAAATTTTTTTTTAAGTACTTCTTTATTGCGTAATACTGAGACCATGCGTAATGCTAATTTGTGAGCATTTTTGTATTTAAAAAAATAGAGGGTGATTCAAAATGAATATAGCGGTTACAAACGGCTATAACTATTTAATGAAAAATAATTCATGATTAAAATTTACACAGAATGTAATAGGAACTTTGAATTTTGTTGTTGTTGTAGTTCATTTACGTCACACTATTGGCGACGATCTGGGAAACATCCCTGAGGATAATCCGAAGACATGCCATCAGAATTTTGATCCTCTGCAGAGGGGACGGCACCACCGATTCGGTAGCCTGACGACCTGCACGCGAAGTCGAGCACTTTAAGGTAGAACAGTTTAAGTAGTATCCATACCGCACACCCTCGGTTCCTACGCAGACTGATCCAAGTGCTCACCCACTCGCTCACTGACGGCAGTCAGTGATGCTTGATTTCGACGATCTGCTGGGAACCGTGTCTTAACGATCAGTCCACTGCGGGACCCACAAAATGTTCGAATCCGCTACTTTTAGAGCTGACATTCGCTACTTCTTAATCTTAAATTCTTTCAACTCTGTGGTAATCTATCGATAAATTATATTTCATTAAATAGTTATAGCTGTTTGTAATCGCTATATTCATTTTAGATTACCCAGCATTTCAGAATTGAAATGTCATGGTTTACTCCAAGTTTATATTATAGCTCATTTTTTCAATACATTAAATTTTCAATTACTTATGTAGGTGAATTTTCCATGAGTGGTTTCGCGTTCTCTTAAGATTGTGAAATATTAGTGATGTCATAATGTGCCTTTTTACCCATTAATGTTTTGCAGGAAACCTAATATATTTGATAACATGCTTGCCATGATGGAGAAATATGCCAATAATTTGGAGGTATTAGTGGACGAAAGAACTGATCAACTTATTGAAGAAAAGAAGAAAACAGACGCATTGCTCTATGAAATGCTTCCAAAGCAAGTATATGGATAATAATAATAATTAAGTTTTCATAATGCGCAGCATGCATCACAAAATTCGTACATGTAATTTTTTTTTTTCGAAAGACTCGATCAACATTTAGATTTTGTTATTATCAATTACATGCGTTAAACGATTATAAAGCTGTTTACTCCTTAAAATTAAAAGATGTTTCTATCAGTAATAAAGAAATGATTAATGTTGGAAAAATATATTCGCATGTTACTGTGGATAATAATTCAATATATACATGTATGTACTGTGAATACTGTGAATGATCGTTTTTGACTTCCACCGGTGAATGTTGACAATCACATAATGGATTTGGTGAATGTCCGAAATATATACTAGCTCTAGTTAAGTGCCACTTCCCGGTATACATTTGCCCGGTATGTCCTGCATCAATGTTTTTTTAAGGTTCAGTGCCGCTGCCCGAGATACATTTGCACGGTATGTCCTACATCAATGTTTTTTTTAAGGTTCAGGGCCGCTGCCCGAGATACATTTGCACGGTATGTCCTACATCAATGTTTTTTAAGGTTCAGGGCCGCTGCACGATATACATTTGCAGTGTATGTCCTACATCAATGTTTTTTTAAGGTCAAATGCCATTGTCTATTATGCATTTAACCAGTACTCCGAACACTGATGTTTCTCGTAATCTGTCTTTAGCAGATATTAAAATATCGAATAAATATAATTATATGAACGAATAAATTAATATAAAATCTTATGTAACAAATATTTTGAACACTCGAACATTAGAATTATGAGCCGCAATGGCTCATAATTCTTATTAATCCTTTTAGAGCGTTCGCCTTCCAATGAGGTGAATGAGTTCGATTCCGGCGATGGCTGGTCGTAACGAATTCCGCATCCGGCTTGCACCAACCACAGTGTCTATTTTGAAAATACACGAGAATGATGTTGGGTATTAATTATATTACACAAAAGTTTCATTTAAAAATAAGCCATAGAAGTGCTAACTATAAATAAATCTTTAAGTAACAATATTGATTTTTTATATCAAGGTAAAACTTAAATTCCCTTACAATAGATTTTAACAAAATCATGATACAGTTATTCAGTTTGATTTTGTTTTAGTGAAGAGATTACAAACTGGGACTGAAGGTAGGACGCGTGACAAGGATTGCGAATCGCCGAGCAATTTCCATGGCGGTAAATGTTTTTATTACGATTTGAATTATTATGAACTTCCTGTTCGTGTTCTTTTAAATTGGTGCTTTTATTTGCCTAAATTATATTAATTTAAAGCTAATTTTATTTTTTCTAATAATTATAGTCAAAAATGGCATTTAAATAGGCTTTGGAAAAGTTCTTTTTTTGTGATTTAATAATTTGGTGACAAGTATACACACACGAATGGTGAATTTATAATGGAGATGTGTCCCTAGAAACGTGTGATAACATTTCAGGTCATGGGTTGCTATGCAATTCTTATGACCTTTCCCATAGCTTGTCTACAAGAAGAACTCCCTTCGCCACAAAGTGTAAGGCCGTCTGCTGCTATGGAAACAAGAAACAGCGTATTTCAAAGAGGAGGACTTCTTTCTCCCCTGATTCCTTTTCTCACTCTAACCAGAACCAAAACCTGTAAATTACTGACCCATACCATAGTTACCACTACTGCTTCAGACGAATGGTGAGGGGAGTTCTTTTCACAGACAAACTATACACCTTCCAAGTTTGCAACCGCTGTTCTGAATCACCTTTTTAGTTATAAACAACTACTTTAACGAATAGTTAAGAACTTGGGTGTCAATGTTAACTCCACCATTTTCCTTTATCTAGTCTTTTAAAGCATTTTTACATATATTCATGGGTATAAATTTTTTTTTCAGATGCGTAGCGGATCAACTGAAACGAGGAAACAAAGTGGAAGCGGAGTCATTTGATTCTGTGACAATTTATTTCAGTGATATCGTTGGATTCACAACTATGTCAGCACAAAGCAGTCCCTTGCAGGTAACAATCTGTTATTTTAATTATAAAAATAGAAACGCATAATTAAAATTTATTTTAAATATCATACACGTCTTGCATTAATAATTCGATGCTGCAATATTTTATTTTATAAGCGTCATTGAACAGCCGACTCAATTTTTTTCGACTACTAATGTTCAACTCCGTAGCCTTGTAATTTTGAACTCGATCCAGAAGACAAAGGAACTCCTGGGCCAAGTATTAGGAGAAATTTACCTTCGTGGAGGACTTTTGGGTGAAACCGCATTACCGTTACATGGTGAGGAAAAGCTTCCACGTTTAGTCTGACGGCAAGAAGACTCTAACCCATGATCCGTCTACAACAGAGGATATATTACGTTGGCACTGTGTTCGGTGCGAACTGGNCAAGTATTGGGAGAAATTTGCCTTCGTGGAGGACTCTTGGGTGGAACTAACCCGCATTACCGTTACATGGTGAGGAAAAGCTTCCACGTTTAGTCTGACGGCAAGAAGACTCTAACCCATGATCCGTCTACAACAGAGGATATATTACGTTGGCACTGTGTTCGGTGCGAACTGGGTGCGGAATTCAAATGAACCAGCCATCTCTGGGATCCGAACCCTATTCACCTCATTGGAAGGCGAACGCTCTATCCCATTAGCCACCACGTTTTTAGTTCCGTTTTTAGGGGCCAAAGTAGCTTACTCGAAATCGCTTTAACTCTCAAGTTATAAACATTCGTGTTCTAAGCCACCAATCTAGTACATCATTTATTGTCTGATATTTTTTTCTTCTTGAATTAGTTTTGTAAGAAAAAGTAAAATAATATTTTACATAATGAAAAAATAACAAAAACAGCATTTGATTAATCATTTCCAGAAACATAGATCTGATTCCCAATGCATCTGATTCGATTATTCTTGCCCTAAATCAGATTCAAAATCAGATCTAATCTCAAATTTTCAAAATCTGGACTAGTCAGATTCAAAATTTCCCCCAACTCATTAATTACTTTAGTTAAATATTCAATTCAATTAAAAATTCACAGTTATTTTTTGTATGTTTAATTACAAAAACAAAATGCATTATTTATCATTAGATCATTAGCCTAAATGAAAGGAGAGAATAGTGGAAATTTCTATATTATTAATCGATTAAATCATAGATTCCCATACTTTTTTTGAGTCACCGTCCAAATACATCCCAAACATATTTTTATGACATTTTGTAAATTCAAAAAAAATCAATAATCAATATCCAAAAATCTTATCAAAACTTGTCATAAAATTTCTAGTTGAAATTTATCAAAAATTTCCGAAGTAGCATAATACGAAACGCATACGTAGCATAATAAAGATACGATTGTTGTTGTTGTCTTCAGTTATTAAGGCAGGGAGGTTACGATCTTTCTTGTCTTCCAATAGCACCATCTATGGCCAAGAATTCGACATCTTACACACCCATACGTCACACCCGTTTATACGGCGGACCCATTCATAGATCCATTCATTTATCCTCAGATCGTAATTTTGACCTGAACCAGAGAACGATCAATCTCCAATTCAGTACCCCCAGAGGTATAATTTGTTATGGGATCATTTGTGACTCGACAGATTTAGCGTGCGCTAGTCACCAATTACTACACAATAAATCTTCGGTCGGCAGGATTCGAATTCCCGTTCTCATGAACGTGAGTCCGACGCCCTGTCAACCAGGCTATCACGGTTAAAAGATACGATTCTGAGCAGTGTATAATAACAAAGGAATAATAAGTCTAATAGTTCCTCCGATAACGATTTCTGACTATAATAATGCGATCTAAAGAGAAGTATTTGGTAAAATCACAAATTTTTTATTTTGTTAATTATACCTTATTTTGAACTTACAATTTTACTTAACATGAAAATATAAGTCATGCGCTACGTACGATAACAACTAAGAACTCAGTTTAATCGTTAAGAAAAGAAAAACGATATATCTCTTTTATGAGAAATTTATTATCAATGTCTAAATTTATTTGGATACTACTTTTCGAAAAATAACGAGATTTATCTAAGAAAAGCATTAGAAAATATTTTAGAAAGGTATATCATTACCTTCATACTTATCACTGCACTCTTTATTAAACTTCTTCTCTGAACAAGAAAAAGGATGCTCAGAATTTGAAAACTCGATGTTAGGATTTACGACACCAACTTGAAAGATTTCATTTCGATATTTATTCCTATAACAACTTTAAAAATTATACTAAAGTTAACGAAACTTTCAAATACGCTAAATTAGCTTCGTTATTTCCATTTTATTTTGAGTTCTGCCGCAGGATAATGTGACAAAGCGTCACTAAACAAGCTATTAAAATTAAATAATAATATGAGGGATAGTTGGTGCATTAGCTCACCTAATTTGGGTATGGTTATTTCGAATCTTTAATTACCTTTGTTCTGAAAGTTTCATATTTTTATTTGAATTATATTTCTTAGTTTAGATTATTTTTGGTCTAAATATACAAGCTTATAAATAACGTAAATTGTCTCCAAAAAAAAAAAGAAAATGAAAAAAAAAAAAAACGGACTACCTTGAATAACAACTTTTGATATAATGATCGGATCTTCACGTTCTAGGATTCATTCTTAATGGTTCGAAGGGGTGACTTCAAATCTACTAATTAATAATTGCAGACGGTTGAAACGTTCCTGAGAAATAAAATTTTTGAAATTCGATTTCTCAGAAACTATCCGACCGATTTTGCTCAAATTTTGTTTTTTACCATGTAAAATTATATCCTTTAAAATGATGCAAAAAATTATATTTCTTACAATTTTAATTTTTTTTCGACCGTTATTATATAAAATAATAAATATTTATTAAAAGTTATTTTTTGCATGGAATTATCTTTGGATAAACAAATTTTATGATTGTGTGCAAAAAAATTTCAATTCGTTTAAAAAGTTCTCGAGATACGCAAAAAGAGATATTAACGTGAGAGGGTCAAAACTTTGGATCGCTCTCCTGACCAAACTATTGGGACCATATTTCTTAGATTGCGGCTACCATAACAATTCGCATCAAAAACTAAAATTTTATATCATTTTCCTCCTACCACGTCTTTCGTAAAGGAGAAGTGGGGACACTTAATTAATTAGTATTCTTAGTAAAATTCCCGGTTAGGCATAAAAACTGTAGCTTTAAAGAGAAACCAATTGCACATTTGAAATCAGCAATGAGAAAATATATAAGATCCGTTCAAAATTCTAATGGGACAGAAAACAAATTGCTTCCCTCTGTAATTTAAAATATGTAGTGTGTAATATTGCATCGACGAAACTTCAATGTCAACTTTGAATATAGTTTTGTTTCTCTTCTACAATCAGGTTTACTTTGTTTCTAGCAACAACAACAACAAAAACTCCCTCTACCAATTGAAAAGAAGAAAATAATTTGAAAGAGAGCTTATAGAGATGATTATTAAATGTACAGTGCGCCAAACAAAAAAATGAACCACCCTGAATAACTTTTGGTCTAATGCTCTTCACGTATCTTGGATCTTCACGTTCTAGAACTCAATCTTGATGGTTTGAGTGGGTTATTATGCGAGTTAATTAATGCAGACGATATTTTAACGACGATATCAGACACAAAAACGTACTTCACAGTTACCTGTGAAATCGAATTTTAAAAAAGTCAGATATTTAAAATTCGATTTCTGAGGAACAATCCGGCCAATTTTTCCGAGCATCAGACATCAGGGCTAAAGAGAATAGAAGGGCTGGTTCACTCCTTTAAAGTAACTCTTGCCGCGCCAATCCTCCGATTTTCTCTAGTGACGTCACTCTGGCCGCGCCAATCCACCGATTTTCTCTAGTGACGCGAAGAATTTGCACCAATCAGATTAGACTTTTTTGGTTCTTTATTTAATTAATGTTAAAAGTAGTTGCTAGGAATCGCTACAAACTACTGCTTTTCTGCATGGCACTGCTCATTACACTACTTCTTTTAAAAAAGTAACGCACTGCATTACAAACATCGGAAAAAAAAAGTAGCGACTAAAAGTTTCGCTGTTTCCAACCACTGAATATAACGTACGATAAAGGTTTTATAACTGTAAAAATGAACAAATCTAAAAAATTCTTTTTATTTAGTTCTTCTTTGGAATATTAATTGGTGTTTCTACTTTAATAAAAAGAGTCATCTATTATAAAGCAACATAATTTGATTATTGATTGCTCTCATATTTTAAGCAGGAATCTGAAAATATTATTTGTAATAACATTATTTTGTAAATAGAATTAGGTGAGAAAAAAATACATTTACAAAGACATATTTTTAACGAGCTCATTAAAGACCTCGATAATTTTAATCTTTTTACTACTGTTAAAATATGTTCAGATGTTTTATAGTTGCAATTCTTTTTTTTCTCATTCTAGAACACTTTTTCCGCATTTTCGGTTCTATCTGTAACGCGTGTTACGTGAAATATAAATAACAGTAATATAAAATAAAAACTGATTCAAAATGTGTCCAACTTAAAGCGTCGATGTGCTGTTAAAATGTTAATGTGCGAAATTAATGTGTTAAATGCGTTAGAAAGGTGATATTTTAAAATCGAAATAAATTCTGTTTCAAAAAAATGCCGACTTTTATTCTCAGCTTTTCTAAACCTGCAGAAGAAAGGCCATAATCCACTTTCCATTGGTAGCGCTGCTTAAAATAAAAGCGTCACACGCAATTTTGCTTCTGCTTCGCAAATTCAGCAAATTAAACTGTTAATTTTTCTTTCTTCATTAGAACTGGTTATTAGATTAGGTTGTGTCAGAAGGGCGGGCAATCGCCCAGAGCGACAGGTAAGGGGGGGAGCTGAGTGAGATCCAGATTTAATGCTCTGTAAATTAATTATTCCTACTTTTGTTTAAAATATTGTTTGCTTTAAAAATATATTTATAGGTAATATTTTATAAATTATAGATTCGTTTCAGGGTGCGTAGCCAAATCTCTCCACAAAAATTAAGCACCTGTTAAGTACTTAAAATAAGCACTCAAAAATATTTTTAAGCACTATTAACAAAATGCAAAATATTTTTCAAACACTTTGCATGATCATGATAAAATAACTAGTTTCTGACAAAGAAATATTTTCTTGATTATATTAGCCATTGTAGAATGGTCAAGAGATTTTTCTGTTCGATATCAGAGGGTGGAAAATGAAGCCTGAAATTGAAAATATCTTGCAAAATGCAGCAGAGTTGTACATGAGGCTGCAATAATCTCACTGAACCCAGCTCATAATGCGTGGCGAAAATCGACATTGTAAAGAAAATAAATTGATTTTTGAAAAGGGAAAATTGACCCCTTTTTTAAAAACACCCAATGAAAAATGCAACTTTAAGGGCTTTTAATAATCGAAAATGAGCACCCTTAAGCACTTTTTAAAAACGCTACGCACCACGTCTTATGTTACCTTTTTTATGGTTACACTTTACAAAGACGGAAAGAAGAGATAGCAGAAGAAAAAACATTCGCTTGACACTCGGTTACGGCAGGCGAAGACAAAAATATTTCATTTTCAAAATAATTTTTAACAAAAGGACGGCCATATTGAATGCACATGACAACTATAATGTATATCGAAAATGAAATCGAAAAAAAAACTGGTTTTGAAGAGTCTATAAAACTGTTTACAACTGCTAAAGCACGAAAAAAAAAATAGATTTTAATATTTATGCTTTTATATTTGATTGTCATAAAAGATCATGCTCATTAAAAATATTACCTCATTCTAAAATATTAATTCCAAAATACTGAAGTGATGTTCGCATTAATTTAACTAACGGTTTTCTTTTTTAGCATTGAGAGCATTAATTGTAATTTATCTTGTCCACATGTTTAACAAATCAACATTAAGGCTTGATATAGATTTTATAATTCTCTGATAGAATTATTGTAACTTAAAATTTAAGAAAAAGCATTTCTCTATATCGCCATGACTACACCAGCAAGACAATTCAACAATTTTTTTTAAAGATTCCTTTTCCGAAAATGAATTAAGGACGCCGTTTTCTGTATCGTGACAACGTCTTCCGCCAATACTGAGTATCAGTTAGCAATTCGAGGCTTTTAAGAAACTAGAAAGTAAAAAAAAGGGAGAAATTGGGTTTTGTTTTATTAAGGTATTTAACTAATCCAAAATTATGATTTCGGGCAAAATTTTCGAAATTGAGTTTATTACAAATTTGAAATCCTTGTCTTTTTACCTTTCTAAAAATATTTTACTTTTGTTTGTGCTCTAATTATTTACAAAGTTAGAGCAGTTTCTGTGCAAAATGAGAGCATTGGATAAACTAATGATTTTAAGTCTTTAAATGCATTTATCTCAAAATCAGATTTTTTTTTCAGTTTTTGCACGACCTAAAACACGATTTCTCATGTTTTATTTAAAATAATTGTCGACAATTTTTCATTAGTGCTTATGATCAAAGAACACATGTTTTGAACAGACTAAGAGCAAAAGGTAGAATTTGATTTTTTTAGCTAGTTTTTTTGCAAAGATAAATGTTACATTTTAAAAAAAATTTTTTTTTAACTACATTGATCAATAACTCAGCAGAGTATGCACTTGCTTTAAGATATAATAGTTCAAAACATAGTTGATAGCCTTATAAATAAGATCCTCAACGGAATTTTTGTTTCGGGCAATAGAAATTTTTTTATGGCGTTAAACGTATATGCAAAAAAATTGCCTTATTTTTACCTAAAAAATGGCCATTTAAGAAATAATAATATAAACAATTTTTTTACTAGTTTTATAAGTTTTTCGCATAATAAAACAAATAAACTAGTTTTTAAAAATTTTATATTAATATTTCAAAAAAAAGTTGTTGAAACTACTCGGATTCCTTTAATGGGTGAAAAAATGCTAATTTCAATTTTTATAATTTATTTATTATTTAGTTTTTAACACTAAAAGCAAAATATTTAAAAAAAAAATTGTTTTGCAGGTGGTTGATTTTTTGAATGATCTCTATACCTGTTTTGATTCCATAATTGAAAATTACGATGTCTATAAAGTGGAGACTATAGGCGATGCTTATATGGTAGTCAGTGGACTTCCTATAAAAAATGGTGATAACCATGCTGCAGAAATTGCTTCAATGGCTCTACATCTACTAGAAGCGGTCAAAAAGTTTATCATCAGACATAGACCTGAAGATACATTGATGCTGCGGATCGGTATACATTCAGGTGAGAAAATAATAGTTTGTCGTGCAAAACTATCACATATTTAATTGCATTACTGCGTAGTGTAGTATAACTATTCCCATAACTATTCCATAAGTATTCAATTCACTAGTCTGTGTTAACTCGATTCTATCTGGAGGTGATTTCAACAAAACCCTTTCGATTTGAAAACGGCGAGCAGTTGACTTGCTATTTTTGACTACGACATTATCCTCCTAGTGATGGTTTCTACTCAGTCTCGATCACATACAACAAGGGCCTGTACACACTCGACTGCTGATAGCAATACAGGAGCAACCACGCCCACAACAACTTAATACAGCTCTCACGAGATATCTGTATTAACATCACTGCTGTAGTGTTAATGTTGTAGTGATCTTAAAACAGCTCTCCAGGCCTCTCGCAAAAAACTGCAATGAATAAACTAGTGGTATCCATTCATCGAATTTATCACAGTTAAAATTCTGGGGGTGGGGAGTAATGTAGCGCAACTTCCACAATTATTCAATTTCCATTCACTAGTATATGTTAACTCGATTCTTTCTGGACGTGTCTTTTGATAGATGACAGTTGCCGTTGTAGGTAGCTTGCACTCACAATTGGTGAGTAACCAGACGTGATTTGACTACCTTATCTGAACCCACTTTGATTTGAACACGGTGAGCAGTTGACTTGCTATTTTCGACTGTGACATTATCCTCCTCGCGATGGTTGCTACTCAGTCTCGATCATACACAACGGAGGCATGTACGCACTCGACTGCTAATAGCCAATGCAGGACCGACTACGCCCACAACAGTGATCTCAATACAGCTCTCATGACCAGCACTCAAATTCCGGTGATCTTAAAACAGCTCTCCCGGCTTCTCGTGAAAAAACGGCAATAAATTAACTAGTGGTATTTCTATCACAGGTAAAATTCTAATGGGAGAGTTATGTGGCGTTGCTACCACTACAACTATTCAACTCCCATTCACATGTATACGTTAACGTAATTTTATCTGGAGGTAACTTTTGGTAGATGACGGTTGACATTGTCGGTAGCCTACACACACAACTGCTTAACTATTTTATGTATTTGTTCAAAATTTTATAACCCAATATCCGATTAAAAGTAAAACAATGTAAAAGTGATTTGCAATTAATAAGTATTTATTTTAATATAACTATTACCAATCAAATTAGTCACACAACGAGATTAGATTGTTTGTGAACAGCAAATTTTACATGAAACAAAAAGTTAACTTATTTAAACTCTGGCAGTTTCGATAATGAAAAGTGATGTAGTTCAACATAATAAGTTCGTGCGTCATAAATAAGTTCATGCTCTCACTCCGTATCAAAAGAACCATACTGGCTTCAACTACACGGTTTAAATTATTTATAATTATATTTAAATGTTATCAAAAATTAATTATAATTTATTAAAACTAAAAGTTTTCTCAATTTTTTTAAAGAAAAAATTGAATTTTATGTACTAATTTTTTAAAGCATTCAAAATTGTTTTAAATTAATTAAACTATAATTAAATTATTATTTTGGTTTTTTAATCGTGATTTTTATTTTATGTCCTTACTCCATAAAACTAAATCAGAGAAAAAGAAATGGCATTNAATTTGAATTTTATGTACTAATTTTTTAAAGCATTCAAAATTGTTTTAAATTAATTAAATTGTAATTAAATTATTATGTTGGTTTCTTAATCGTGATTTTTATTTTATGTCCTTACTCCATAAAACTAAATCAGAGAAAAAGAAATACCATTTTAGGTGACGCCATTACTGAATTTAGAATACTGTAAAGTAACTGTAAATTACCGTAAAATAACATATTTTTTCAGGTGCCGTGTGTGCTGGTGTCGTGGGACTGAAAATGCCCCGATATTGCTTGTTTGGAGACACAGTCAATACTGCTTCTCGAATGGAATCAAGTGGACTTCGTAAGTAAACTTCAAGTAATAATTAATAAACCTAAAGTAATTAATAAACCTTCAAGTAACCTAAAGTAATAAACCTTTAAGTAACCTAAAGTAATTAATAAACCTTCAAGTAACCTAAAGTAATTAATAAACCTTCAAGTAACCTAAAGTAACTAATAAACCTACAAGTAACCTAAAGTAATTAATAAACCTTCAAGTAACCTAAAGTAATTAATAAACCTTCAAGTAACCTAAAGTAATGAATAAACCTTCAAGTAACCTAAAGTAATTAATAAACCTTCAAGTAACCTGAAGAAATTAATTTGTCAAAAATTTGTAAATAATTTCATTACTATGCGTTAATAAAAATAAAATATATGTTTCAATAATTTTGTTTTTAAGCAGGCTAAATAGGTAAAATTAATTTTATTTTTGTCAGACTTAAAAAAACATCCAAATAATTAGCATTCCTGATAACTCTAAAATGTATCTACTCTATTTTTTCAATCAAGTAATGTCTAATAAACTGGAAAATGACCCCGTTCTCTGAAAATAGTAATAGACGAGAAAAAAGGTAAATAAATTTCATATTTTAATTCATTTTATTTTTCTTCTGATTATAGAAAAATAAAATCCCTTACGCGTGGAGTGGAATTAGACAGACGGAGCATCTATGAAAAACAAATTAACATTTATTTCAAGATATTTATTATATTCTGCTTCATTTCAAAAAAGTTATTACTGCTTCATTTCTCAGAATATTTTAAATCGCATTTTAAAATGATGCCTCGTGCAGCTTAATAAATAATTTTTTTTGTACCTAAACCCAAGTCAAAATTTTTGAGGGTTTTCCATTGATGGACCAGCATAATATTCATGGCAACCATCAATAATTCAATCATTAACCATTATATTTTTTGATGGTGGCCAACATAAGTAACCATCACCCCAATGTAGGAATTCGGACTGATTGATAACCAACAAAAGAATAGCAACTTGTTTTGATGGTTGGTTCAAGTTGAACCATCAGAAATTTCCATCATAGTTTCTTCGAAATCAAATGTTGGCACGATCATGAACCACCTTCATCCCAATGTAGAAATTTGGACTATTTACGATGGAGCAACATAATAAAAAGCCAAATTGCTTGGATGGTATATTTCTGAGAACCAACAAGAATTCCCGTTAAAACATCATGGAGGTGCATAGTTGGAACCATCATGGATTGTTGGTTCATGAGAATCAAACTTCTGTTGATGCTTGACCTTCATACTATTAAAGTAGCATTTTCCATCGTGGAATGATGTAAGTTTGTTGGCATATCAAACAACATGAAATCAGCATGGAAAATGTTGGACCATCAAATGATGTTAGACCCTCATGAATGGCACTGAAACCAAACATAAACCATCAAATTTTTTTGATGGAACCATCAAGAATTTCGACTTGGGAAAGTAACACTATTTCTGAAACTTTTGGTTATGATTTTCCAAAGCTTGGTCTCATCTGCCTATAGTGTCAATTGTGGCTCTTCTAGTTATGCGGGACTCGCCGTCTTGCGCCGACGTTGCTTGGTCCTTTGGAGCTGAAGTGACGCCTGCGGGAATTCTTCTAAATTTGGCTCACAGGCCGAAATGGCGAAGGGCACGTTATGATTGACTTAATACTTTTTCAAAGTGTCTGAACACGTTTGAAGTACAAGCGTTCTTGAAAAGAACAATCTCAAGAATCTGAAGTGGTATGATTTACTTGTGAATATGGAAAAACTTTAATTTTATTTTTTTTTTTAAATATGAAGGCGAGAAAACGACACGTTTTGAGTCCCCAGAACTTCGCGATAATTTTCATAACTCACAAAACATAAATGATGAAAACAAAACTTGATTCTCTAGTTAATAATATCAGTGCACCTTGAAAATATATTATGCCCTGATATATATCTCTTTCTATCGTCGTCGCACCTTTCGGCTACCTCGGAGCTTCTTCTTTTGTTTTTTAGCTTTATTTTCTTTCCCATTTTTATCGGGGGAACTTGGCGATTTTCTGTCTCAAATTTCGTTATTTTGATCATTCATATGTCTTTTGGGTCTTGTTTGAAACACTCGAAACTTGTCTACTTTTTCACCTTAATTACTTTCGACGCAAATAAGTTTTTTTTTTTTCATTTACAATTTTTCTTGTTAAGCTTTAGAAAGGAGAAAAGTTCACATGAGAGTATGTATACTTCCACAAGTGACAAAATGAACTGTTCTTCTAAACTACTGTTCTGGCTTTTAATTCCATTTATATTTCGATAAAATGTTCACCCAAATACGACTTTTCCGAGAACGCCCATATTTCTCTGTTGTAGTACTTGGTGCCGGTAAATGTTATCAGTTGGGATGCAGTAAACACAATTTCTTGAAATGTCATGTATTTGATAAAGAATCCTAAAAATATCTTGAGTATATACAGTGCACCACCTTGAATAACTTTTAATTTAATGATCGGATTTTCACGTTCTTAATAGTTCAAGGGGGCAACCTCAAATATGTTAATTAATTTCATAATGAAACCGGTTAAATAGTTCCTGAGGCACCAAATTTTAAATATAAAACTTTTTTTAAATTCGATTTTTCAGTAGATTTTTGATTTCTAAGTAGACGCATTCAGACAAGTTTATGTATTAGGTTCAATTTTATTCTTTTTTTAAAAAAAATCTCAAAGCTATGATTTTTTTCCCGTTAATTTCAGAAGTGTGATTCAGTCACGAGACTTCGGTATCATTTGTTCTGTATAAATAAATAACAGAACGCTCCGAAAGAGAAGAATTTTAGTGCCAATTTGGTACTTCTGAGAGTTCTTTGAATGCTTTAAATTTTGTGTCATACTTTGGAACAAGGGGAACAAGGTTACTAAAAGTAAAATTCGAAAATATACTTTCAGAAAAGAAAAATTACCGCAGTGAATTACTGCAATATTACAAAATTACTGTAATACTTATCCAAATTTGGTGTTGAAAAACTCTTAAAAATTGTGTTGCCTTATTTCAAATTTATACCGAATCGAGTGTTCATACACACTTCAAAGGGTGCAGTTAAAACTTTATCAAGCATAGACCAATCTGCAGCTCCTTGGTAAAAATGTTGTCTTTTTCGAAGCTCAGTAAACTAATATTATTGTAATTATTATTGTAATTATTATTGTATTATTATTGTAATAATTATAATAATTATTGTAATAAGTATAATATATATTATTGTAATAATTATAATTATTATTGTAATAATTATAATGATTATTGTTACAATTACTAATATAATAATTATTATGGCTGGAAAATTATTTTATAGTGCGCTTAAAGAAAGGACCACCATGAGTACTAGTGTACTAGTATTTTAAACTAGTGTTGGTAAATGCAAAATTGTTTTTAAATTTTTAATTGGGTTTTGTTACGATTAACTTAGATTCAACTAACAAAATTTTTTGTTCCTAAGAACTGGTTAAATTGGGTTGGGACTCTGCGTCTAGTTTCGTGTTATCTTGAGACCGTTTATTGAGTTTGGCATCAATGGCCTCCAACTTTGGACAATTAGAATCTGCAGACGATAAACTGTTTACAGTGCCTTCTATTTTAATTTTAAAAATTTACGATAACCTGTATAACAAAAAATGAAAGCAATTGCAGTCATGCTAGATGTTTTAAAATTCAAGAAAAGTTGTGATCGCCTTATTACGATAACTGGTCACCCATTGTTCAAATGCTTTTTCTTTCTGGATTGACTCCGTTAAACATTTCAAATCATGGGTTGCAAAAACTGTCTCTCTTGATGTTTGTCGTCGGATTGGTTTTCAAATCCTGCATATGTACGTGTTTCAAGACGTCACAAA